GGTGCTGCAGGACGAGTCGGCTCTATAAAGCCAAGTGCTCTCTGAGTTGGCCCCCTTCAGCTACGCAGCCTTGCTTTTACAGTTTCTGAAGGCGAGGGAAGCCCAAGAATAAACACAGGCCCAGCGGGACGGCCGCAAGCACATCATCCTCAGACGTCTACAGACCATCCCGGAGCCAAGGTCCTCAAGTGCAGTACAGGACTTAGACACCTCCAGGCTCTCAGGTCTTACTCTACAGCCCAAAGGCTGGCCACCCACCCATAAGACGTTACTGGACAGAAGTGACCCTCTTTCCACAAGACCTTTCTCAAATGCCTCTACCTAACATCTAACAAACCTCCCTCTGCTCGCAAAAGAAAAAAACACAAAAACCTCCTTTGTTCTTTCCAATCTGTGAAGACTGAATGTCGGGAATGGGAGGAGAAACCCTCCTCCTTGCACGACGCCTCTTCTCCCAGACTGCCACTCATCACACATCACCTTAACAGAATTCCAGCGAAAGGTCACGTATCCACTGAACACATTCCCAATCTTTAGCTTAAAAACCAGCAAATCAATATGCTCTTTACTTCTATTAATTCAGAAAGGGGATAACTGTAAAGAAAACTTTATTTTTAAGATTTTATTTTTAACTAATCTCTACACCCAACATGGGAGTTTGAACTTACACCAACCCAAGATCAAGAGTCACACAGTCCAAAAAAATAATAATAATAATTCACATGCTCTACCAAGAGCCACCCAGGTGCCCCAATAAACTGTTTTCTTAAACGTTTAATTCTTCTGTGGCATCAAGCTAATTTAGTGGAATGCCGTTTGGTTAATGGAAATGAAAGCACCCAGTACATTTAACAAGAAATCAGTACATCTGAGGGCATCTGGGCATCTCAGTTAAGCATCTGCCTTCAGGGTCCTGGGATCGAGCCCTACATTGGACTCCCTGCTCAGCCAGGAGTCTGCCTCTCCCTTGCCCTCTGCTGCTTCCCCTGCTTGTGTTTTCTTTAAATCTTTAAAAGGGGAGGGACAAAGGAAAAGAGAGAGAGAAAGAAGAAGCTAAAATAAATCTGGAGAAGTTACCTATGTATGATTTCATTACCTGAGAATTCTCATAATGGGGGGGCTGGGGACAGACACACAGAAGGGAACCGTCACTCCTTCCCACAAACCATCTACTTACATATTTGTTACCTAATATGCCTCAAGGATTCCTGAAACAAACAAGGAAGCTACTTCCACTGAACTCAAGATCTGAGACCAATGATTGCCAAAACCGGTAATTATCGACTATTAGACACTTATAGGCACGACTAATTTCCTTTCATTAAAATAAAATAGAAAATGCGTCAAGTACCCAGTCCCGGTTTGTGAATGCAAAGTGGGTATTTCTGCCCCCAACTTTCGGAAAGTCTGGATTCCATTATTAATCACAGAAGGGTCATGAGGACAAAGACAAACCAGGAAGGATCCAATCCAAACAAGGTTTTCTCAGCACTGTCGGTCTGGGGCGACGCCTTAGGCACACAAGGAGCACAGAAGTGGCGATTCCAGGCCTACCCCAGAGGAACACACAGGAAGGTCCTGGAATCCTGTGTTGGTGAAAAGGAGAACAAAAATTTTAAAGGGTACAAATCACATACCACCCGAAGAAATCACCCTTCCAAATACAATTGATCCTTGCAACTCACCTTAAGAATCCTAAAATAACTGGAGTATTTTTATAAACAAAACACACAAAAAAAGAAACCCCACCAACTCACAACGCACGCAATTCTACTGCCTCAGAGCCACTTGTGGTACCTACTGTTTCCTACTTAGGATGGTCAAAACTCCCCACAAATGTTAAGAAAGGACCAAAGTTTTCAGAGAAAACCCAGCTATGCCCAAATAAGGAATAGCTTTTGAAGTAAGATGTTAGAGGTGTAAATAAAAATACACTCCTCCCCACTTTGACATACAATGCGACCCTGAGGAACTTAACTGCCTTTATAATTTTTTCAAGATTTTCAGTCCTCTCTACATCCACCACAGAGCTTCAACTTACACCCGGAAACCAAGAGTCACACGCCGCAAACAGAGCCAGCCAGGAGCCCCTACCTGTTTTTTGTTGTTGTTGTTGTTGTTTTCAGAAATTAATTTTCCCCACCTTAAAAGTGAAGTACTTAAATAAACAGTACAAAGAACAACAGGTATTTTCTAAACTTACTTCTTTCTTAGGTAGGATATTAAAACAAAAAGGGTGAACAGTGATCCTGCATGCTACCATTAAAGGACAAAATTTGGAAAAAAACCTATAATTGATATATAATAAAAGCATCAAAGTTCTCCAAGCTGAGTTACCCATTAACTCATTTCCTTTAATTAGGTTTTAGATGGTCTTTCCAGGGCGCCTGGCTGACTCAGTTGGTACAATATGTGACGCATTATCTTGGGGCTATGAGTTCAAGCCCCAAGTTGGGGGTAGAGATTACAGTCGCTTGTCCTTCCACTCCTACGTTATCATTCCTGTCACTATACTTATCTTCAACCTTGCTGTTCTTCTACCTCCTTAATTTATTTTTTTAAAGGTTTTATGTATTTATGTGACCGACAGAGATCACAAGTAGGCAGAGAGGCAGGCAGAGAGAGGGAGAAGCAGGCTCCCTGCCTCCCGAATTTCAAGTTCTCACAAATCCTATGTATCAAAAGAGAAAGGACAGCATTTGTTAATTCTTGCCACTGTCCCCATCCTAATTCCCCAATAAACCTGCAATTACGCCCATTTCACCACTAGGTGGTGTCCTGGGCAAAAAAAAAAAGCAACCCAGATTTCTAACACAGACCACCCCCTACCCTAAATCAGATTCGTTTCCAGGATTTCAACAAAAAAAGTTTTTACATATTCTGTTAAAATATCCCCTTACAAATAGAGGCCGATTCCATTCACTTGATCCTTACCAACAGACCTCAGAAAAGGCATGTCATGAGCCTTACCCATTAACACAGCAGCTGACCTTCAATGGGCGGACCCACCAGCAGAAGGTAACAGGGAACATCACCAAGGTGACGCGGTCAGCATTACACAGCAACCCTGAAAAGCTGAACTTACAGTAACTCACTGAGCGTGAGGGCGGGGGGGGCCTCAGTCGGTTAAGCATCTGCCTTGTGCTCAGGTCATGAACCTGGGGTCCTGGGATGGAGTTCCAGGTCTGAGCAGGGAGTCCGCTTCTGCTTCTCCCTCCACCTGTGTGTTCTTCCTCTCTGGCGCGCACGCTTGCGCTCTCAAATAAGTAAGTAAGATCTTTAACAAAGGAACTCACTGAGTTTTAAAGTGCCCTCTCTAAAACTAAAAATATGCAGACACCACCCCACCGCGAAGCTGGTTTTTGAGTTTCCTGGTGAAAAACTACTGACGGTGCGAGCTGTACTGGATCTGTAACAACTGTGTGTTTACAACTGTCCAAAACAGCGTTAACACAAGGGAAACTGGTTCCACTCTTAATTCTCACACCTACGAAAGCAGTGGGTTCGCTAAAACAGAAAAGCTGTCGCCCGCCACGGAGCTGCGAGCAGCGTCCCTCCCTGCCCGTGACCCGGTCTGCAGCACGGTACTCAGCAGAACTCCCCACCCGGCCCTCCAGAGACGTCTGTCCTGCAGCCAGGAACACCCTCAAACCACCAATGTCAAACCAAGAAAACAAAACTTAAAACACTGACGATTTTCCTAAAGGACGCTGAAACTCCCAATCTGACCATCTCCTACAGCAACAGGTCGAGTCCGTTCAGGCCGATCTCAAAACTCAACTTCCCAAACCGCCCCCAAGCCAATTCGCCCCCGAATTCGACGCGCAGGATCTAGAACGTTCCGCGGCTCACTGGAGAGAAGGCGCCGAAAAAGCCCTCCCGTTGTGTTACCCACCGCGCCAGTACCCGGAGCGGCGGGAGTCCCGACTGCGTTTCCCGGAGAGAGACCGTAAGTAAAGCCGAGGCGGAGCCGGGAAGGAACCGCACAGCCACCGAACACTTCGGAGCCGCGTAATTCCTAGAAACGACAGTGAGCCCGAAAACCGACCGGCGAGAAGCTCGGTGCCACGGTTTCTCCCGCCTCTCATCGGACCCTGCTCGTCGTCGGACCCGAGTCCTCCCCAACTCGAGCCCCGACTTCCAGGACGCCGGCTGGGGCAGGGCGCGGAGGAGCGCAGCGCCGGCCCCTCACGGGGTGACCTTGCCGCGCGGCCATGCCCCCGGGCTCGCGCGAGCAGGCGACGGCCACGACGCGCTCGCAGACCTTCGGGGACCACACGCGGCCCGCGGCGGACGCGGCCCGCGCCGACCCTACCCTTACTTGGGCAGCAGCTGATGAGAACCCAGGGCACAGCGGCGCGCTCCGCCCCACAGCGAACTTCCGAGAAGCCCCGAAGTTCCGGGCACGCGGCTTCGCGTCTCCGGGGCCGCTTCCCCGCCGCCGCCTCCCGCGCGGCCGCTCCTCTCGCCGCGAACCCACCGGCTCCGGGCCCGTCCACGCGGGACTCGAGGGCAAACAGGCCCTCCTGCCGCACGGCCCCCGCCGCCGCCGAGCCCGGGTCCGCGCCGCTCGCCCGCCCGCCCGCGCCCGGCACTGGCCCGGCACGGGCCCGGCCCAACCGCCGGCGCGGGGCCGGCCAAGGGCGAAGACCGCCCCCGACTCCCGGGACCCGGGACCCCGGTCCTCCCCCGGCCTCCATGTGCCGGCCCGACGCCCGCCCCGGCCCCGCCAACCCCCGGGCCTGCCGTCCACCCCCGACCCCCGACGTCCGCCCGCGGCCGCAACGCCGGCGCCCCTCACCCGACGCCCCCCCGGCCCCACACCGGGACCCCGGCCTCACCCCGCGGCCCCGGCCCCCGACAGACACCCCAGCCAGACGCCCAGCCCCGAAACCCCGACCCCACACAGCAGGCCGCAAGTCCCGACCCCCGACCCAACTCCCCTCCCCGGTCCCCCACACCGGCCGGACGCCCGACCCCCGCCCGCGGGCGACCCTCACCGAGGACAGGGAGCCGGCGGCGAGCAGGAGGCGCGGCGGGGCGGCGGCCCGGGTCCCCTCGGCCCGGCACGGCGGCGGTGGCGGCGGTGGCGGTGGCGGCTCCTCGCGCTTTCCTTTCTCTCCTTTCTCCGACAACAAACAGGAAGTGCGTCACGCGGCGGCGGCGCGGCGACGAGCACTTCCGCCCGGCTCTGACGCCGCGCATGCGCCCCGCCCCGCCCGCCTTCCCGAAGATTCGCGGAGGCTGGACTGGGGGGGTGGGGGTGGAGGGGAGGAGCTCCCGCGAGTGTTGCTCGGCGTCCGCGGATCCGCGGGGCGGCGGCGGGCGGAGGAGGCAGGGCTCGCGGCCGTCGGCCTCCCCTGGTGTTCGGCCTGCCGCGGCCGCCCGGGACAGGCCTCTCTGACGTGGACTAGCGTGGGCGGTCACGTTTAAGGACCTACAGGCCCAGTGTCGGCCTGAGCCGCAGCGACCCCTTTGTACAAGGGCACGTCGGTGCAGAGGGGTCGTCGGGTGCGAGCGTGTCCCCCCCAGGGGCAGGGAGAGCGGCTGACCGCGTCTCCGGGGAGCGCAGACCCCCTGCTAGCTGTGCCTCTCCCGCACCTGTCCCGGAACTGACCCCCCACCCCCCACTCCCACCCCACCCCCAACCCTGCCTGCTGGGCCTCTCCCGGAACTGACTCCCCACCCCAGCCTTGCTACCCCCACCGCCACTCCCACCCCACCCCCAGCTCTGCCAGCTGTGCCTCTCCCGCACCCGTCCCAGAACTGACCCTCCACCCCAGCCCTGCTCTCCACACCCCACTCCCAGCACACCCCCATCCCTGCCTGCTGTCCTCTTCTCCTCCCCTCCTGGAACCGACCCCCCACCCCCACCCCCACCCCTGCTCCCCTCCTGGAGCTGACTCCCCACCCCAGCATCCTCTGGCTTCCGCTCCAGGACGGTGTTGAAGGCGGGGTCTTAGACCATTTCAGGGGGCTCCTCGGTTTTCCGGGATGTCCCCTAGGTATGCACACATTGTTAGGCTTCTGTTTGCTCTCCTCCTCTTACTTGGTCTTAGGTCAGTTTAATTAGTAGAGGGGTAACTTCCCCCCACCCCCCTAACTGATCTAAGCCCTTGAGAGCCTTTAGTAGAAGATACTTTCAACGCTTTTTATTTATAACATCTGATTAATAAGCTTCACTCTAGGCCCTGGGAAGGCTTAAGTAGCCCTGCCTCTAGTTTGTCCTACTCTGGGGGACAGACTGCCCCAAAGTGGGCCACTCTGGCATGAAGATTATTTTGAGCTGATGGCAAAGGAGACCCTGTGGGCTCAACAGAATATTTTGCCCCTCCCTTAATTACATGGAAGAATCTAAATTGGGAGTCTTCCCAAGAACACTGGTTACTACCAGAGATAAATTTTATGTGAGTGACCCATCCTATGGCAGGAAAAACATCTAATTAGCGAACATTTGCTCTTTTTCTTACTGCCCTGTGAATTACATTCCTTCCCTTCAAAGCCCCAGACCCTTACCTTTTTCTTAATTCAGGATAACATATATATATCTCGGGCCGCCTGGGTGGCTCAGTTGGTTGGACGACTGCCTTCGGTTCAGGTCATGATCCCGGAGTCCCGGGATCGAGTCCCGCATCGGGCTCCCAGCTCCATGGGGAGTCCGTTTCTCCCTCTGACCTTCTCCTCGCTCATGCTCTCTCTCACTGCCTCTCTCTCAAATAAATAAATAAAATCTTTAAAAAAAAAAATATATATATATATATATCTCATTTTGTCTGACTGTCTCTGGAATTTCCTGCCTCTGTGGATGCCCTATGTGTAAGCTATTAAATTTGATTTTTTTTCCTGCTGATCTACCTCATGTTAATTTGAACCTTAATACAGGTAGAAGGAACTGGAAGAGGAATTCATGCTCCCTGGCACTACTTAAAAACAAAAGATAGTTTTATATTGTGCATATTCTTTTCTTGTGTTTCTTAAACGTTCATTGTATCACTTACACCATAGTTTTTATTAAGTGACCTGTTAGCAAAAGAAAACAAAAAACATGTCTTTTTCTGGGTCAGTTCCCTATTTCTTTTAGTAGATCATATAAATGGTCAACAAGAAGAAATAAGACAGTATTTGCTTTTGGTATGGATACCTCATGATAAAACCCAAGATAATCTCAGCAGAGACTAGAATTTCATTCAGGTACATCCACAGTTTGCCACTGTCATTTGTAATGGTATATACCAGCCGGCTGATGGAATTTCAGGTCCCTTCCAGTGTTGACAGTCCTATCATGTGACATTTCACATTGAAATAAGTCCCTACAGCAAGTGTGAGCTAATCTTGAAATGCAGACAGGACAGAAACATGAATTTTAAATAGTAAGTGGCAGGCTACCCACAAATAACTTGTTCAACCTCTCTCCAAAAAAAAAAAAAAAAAAAAAAAAAAAAACAACTAAAACACCTGTCAGTGCAGCGGACTATATTATCAGAAAACCAAGTAGAAAAAAAAGAAAAAGAAAAGAAAAACCAAGTAGGACAAAACAAGGGTCTCCCCATCCCCCACACCCCCACCCCCACCCACTGGGATTCACATGGTATGCTGGGTGGACTGGCATAAACATTAAGTGACATTAAATGACATGGCAATATTTAAGTGACTCTTTAAAAAAAAAAAACTTTTAAGTAAACAACAGGAAGGATCTTTCAAAATAAGATTGAGGGGTGCCTGGGTGGCTCAGTGGGTTAAAGCCTCTGCCTTTGGCTCAGGCCATGATTCCAGGGTCCTGGGATAGAGCCCCACATCCCCACATCAGGCTCTCTGCTCCGTGGGGAGCCTGCTTTCTCCTCTCTCTCTCTCTGCCTACTTGTGATCTCTGTCAAATAAATATTTTTTAAAAAATAAGATTGAGGATTTATCCCAAAATTAATTTTAGCCCAGATGGTGATGCTCCTGGAAACTCCAGAGTACAATCAACTCAAAACGGAATAGCAAGGATTTAAACTGGGGTGAGTGAAGCCCATTTTGGGCGGAATGAGGAGACAGAGAGCCAGCCGAGAAGGAAGGCGGCCTCCGGGGACTGTGTGCCTGTTAGCTTGCCGGGTACAGAGACTTCCAGCCCTGAGGACAGGAAATAATTACTTGTGTGGACAGCAAGGACTTCACTCCTTATCTGGTGGGAAAGGGAGGCCAGGCATAGACACACCTGGGGTTTCCAGGATGGGTGGGAAAGTGGGAGCTTCTATGACTTGGTTGCCGCATCTGTAAAATGGAGATAATAGGCTTATGGGAAGGGTTGGTCCCATGCACTCATCTCAGCCTGGCAGAGAGTAAATGATGGCTCCTCTGTGTCATGGCCTCTTTGAGAAACTGAGGAAAGGTACAAACTTCCCAGAAACATTTGCCCATGACAGGAAGGAGTGGGCAGACATCAGCACGCCCTGCACGCGCACCCTGCCGAGCGCATCCTAGAGTCCAGGAGCACCTGCTGAAGGTCCAGAATGACAGTGTGGCAATTTTTATCACACTGTGAAATTTATGTTTGATTCAAGAACATTTGTAGAAATTTCCCAAAGGCAACACAGGAAACAAGGAGAAAAAAGGTACATACAAGATTTGCAGACCACCAGCTCCTCCTTACCAGGAAATACCAGGCCAACCATAAAGATAATAATGACATTCTTTTTTCTTTTTTAAGATTATTTATTTGTTTGAAAGAAAGAGGGATCGAGAGAGTACAGAAACAGAGGCAGAGGGAGAGTGAGAAGCAGGCTCCCAGCTGAGCAGGGAGCCCGATGTGGGGCTCAATCCCAGGACCCTGGGATCATGACCTAAGCCGAAGACAGATGCTTGACTGACTCAGCCCCCTAGGTGCCCCAGGGCTGCTCTATTTCTCGGCAGCAAACACATCCAAGATACATTAAGAAGGTGCACATAACGTGAAACCATCTTTATAAAATTATATTCGTGTGTGTGTGTGTGTGTGTGTGTGTGTGTGTGTAGGTCAAAGTGGACTCAGCTGCCTCCATTTTGACCTCCAACTTTACAGTGGGTTCTTCTTTTCAGTTGGTCCCTTGGCGCAGGCAGAAGACCCCAAGACAAAGCATCCCGTGTTGGGAGAAGAAACTCTGCCCTGGAGGGTAAGGACCACCCTCCCCTGCGCGACTGACTCCAAGACAGTGACCCATTTGACCAGTGCTGGCCTTCACGGACCCACCCTCCATCGCCCCATGTTTTCCTTATATAAACCCAGAAGTCAGGGGCACCTGGGTGGCTCAGTGGGTTAAAGGCTCTGCCTTCGGCTCAGGTCATGATCTCAGGGTCCTGGGATCGAGCCCCGCATCGGGCTCTCTGCTCAGCAGAGAGCCTGCTCCACCCCCGGCCACTCTCTCTGCCTGCCTCTTTGCCTACTTGTGTTCTCTGTCTGTCAAATAAATAAATAAAATCTTTAAAAAAATAAAATAAAATAAAAAATAAACCCAGAAGTCGGTCCAGCATTTCGCGGCGTCCTTGAGATCCGAGCCCGCTGTCTTCCAGTGCTGGCCTCACTGAAGTAACTTCCTTTCTTCTTTCGCGGCCATGCGTCTCTGTACCTTTGGACTTTGTCAACGGCTAACCTGGTGTGTTTGGGATCCCCAGAACCAGGTGCTCACGCACCCCTGTGACCCGGCTCTGGGCGAGAGGCTTCTCTGAGAAGGGTCTCGGTGCAGAAGCTCACGAGCTTCCCCGATGACAGCGGGCAGCCAAGGACCGGGGTACCTGCAGAATCTGGTCCTTGCCCAGGTTGGCAGAGGGCTGCTTTGCAGGGACCTAGGCGGGGGCGGCAGCACTGGTCCTGGAATGGACTGAGGAAGAAAGCCAGTAGCTGGAGAATGAAGGTCAAGGGACGCCTTGGGGTTTCTCAGTTGTGTTTTGTTGCTTATGTCTGGCCATTGCCCCAAAGGCCCTCCAGCACCTTTCCAATCAAAGCCGCTGGGACAAGAGAACAGGAGAGAAAAGCAATCGGAAAAGGAGTTCCTTCTCAGAGGAGGTCAGGAGGTTGGGGACAAAGTGTGAAGGAAGGGATCTCACCTTGAGAAGGAAGGATTTACATCAGTTCCTTC